TCCACTTCTCAAAGTTTCGATTTAGCAGTTCTTCAATTCTTCGATTTTTCGACTTTGCTTTTTTGGTTTTTCGATTTCTCAATTTTCCAGTTTTTTAATTTTTCAATTTTTGGATATTTCTTTCAGTTTTGGGATTTTTCGAAACATCGAAAAATTGGAAAATCGAAAATTTAAAAATTCCGAAAATTGAAAAATTGAAATATAGAGAAACAGTTAAAATATCAAAAAGTTGAAAAATTGAGAAATCAAAGTATAAAACAGTCGAAAAATTGAAAAATCGAAAGTTTTAAAAACGAAAAATTGAAAACATAAAAAGTAAAATGTCGAGAAACCGAAAAATCCCTGAATTCAAAAAACCGAAAACTCGAAATACTAAAAAATCCCAAAACTGAAATTTCGAAAAATTGAAAAACTGAAAAATTGAGAAATCAATCGAAAAGTCAAAAAAGCTAAGTCGAAAAATCGAACTTAAAAAATCGAAAAATCAAAAACCTGAAAAATCGAAACGTTGAAGAACTAAAGAATTGAAAAATCAAAACGTTGAGGAACTACAGAATTGAAAAATTGAAGCTTTGGGAAATCAAGAAATTGGAAAATAAAAAAATAGATTAATTGAGAAGTCGGAAAACTGAAAATTCAGAAACGTCAAAATTTGAAAATTTAAAAAATATTGAGGAAATGAAAAATCGAAAAATCTAAAATTTAAATCATTGACAAGTTTAAATATCGTAAAATTGAGAAATGGAGAAATCCGAACATCTAAAAATCAAAAAAATCAAAATTCGAAAATCTAAAATTTAAAAATCGAAAAACTGAAAAACCAACAAATCGAGAAATTGAAACTCGAAAATTTAAAAATTGGAAAATTGAGAAATCGTGTAATTCAAAAATCGAAACAACGAAAAATCGAAAACCCGAAAAGTAAAAAATTTTCTCAACTTCTCGATCCTCTGATTTTTCGATGTCGCAGTTTTTGAATTTTTCGATGTTTCGATTTTTCAGTTATCCGATTTTTCAATTTTTCAATTTTTTAAATTCTGGGGTTCCAATTTCTTGATTTGTCGATTTTTCAGTTTTTCAATTTTTAAATTTTAGATTTTAGAATTTTTATTTTTCGATTTTTTCATGTTTGGATTTCTCGATTTTTCGGTTCTGCGATATTTTTATTGTTCAATGTTTTAAATTCAAGATTTTTTTATTTTTCAGTTCTTTAGAATTTCTATTTTTCAAATTTTGCGTTGCTAAATTTTCAGTTTTCTGCTTTCTCAATTAATCTATTTTTCATTTTCCCATTTTCCGACTTCTCAAAGTTTCGATTAATCAGTTCTTCAATTCTTCGACTTTTCGATTTTTCGACTTTGCTTTTTTGGTTTTTCGATTTCTCAATTTTCCAATTTTTTAGTTTCTTAATTTTCGGATATTTCTTTCAGTTTTGGGACTTTTCAATATTTCAATTCTTCAAATTTTCGTTTTTTACTTCCCGAGCGTAAGCAAAGGAAGTATTGTAATCGAGTCCGTCGGCCGACTCTCTACTTTTACGTTTTCTCGATCTTTCATGACCCCTAGAAGACGAAGAAATAGGTCTCCCATTTCCGTCTGTCTGTCCGTCTGTCCGTCTGTCCGTCTGTCCGTCTGTCCGTCTGTCCGTCTGTCCGTCCGTCTGTCCGTCTGTCCGTCTGTCCGTCTGTCCGTCTGTTGTCACGGATTTTTATTAGACAGATAATCTCCGAAAGTACTCGACCGATTGTTGTGAAATTTTGTACTTATATTAAGAATATCATGTAGATGGTAAAACGCTAACCAAAATTTGTCGAATCATCCCCACCACTAAAGCGATGACGTCACTTCAAAATTGTACATAGTAAATGGGTTTTCAATTGTATAAAATAACATAGTCCTACACATGTAGTTTACAACTCTGAATCGACTTTTCACCCGAAACGTCCAGATTTTTGGAAAAAAAATCAAAATTATAAAACAACATTTTGAAATTTAATTTTTAATCTGCTAACCAGAATGCTTTGAAATGTTGCACATGTTTTAAGGCTATAAAGAGCATCATAAATCTTTAGTCAAAAAATATTTGCTTATCCCCTCCAAAAACTTGATGACGTCAGCTCAAAAGTTTGTGGAATAAATCATATCTAAAATGTACAAAATATGATGAGTCTGTACTTGTGAACTATCACTCCATTAATATTTTTTGGATTTGCATATACAGGGTGACTCAAAAAAATTAATGAATGCGTAAATATATTTTATTGATTTAATCAGGAACTACAAAACCGAATGCTCTGAAATCTTGCAGATGTTTTAAGGTCATAAAGAGCATAATAAATGTTTAGTCAAAATATATTTGCTTATCCCCTCCAAAAACTTGATGACGTCAGCTCGAAAGTTTGCCGAATAAATCATATCTAAAATGTACACAATATGATGAGCCTGTACTTGTCATTTATCACTCCATTCATATTTTTTGGATTTGCATATACAGAGTGACTCAAAAAAATTAATGAATGCGTAAATTTATTTTATTGATTTAATCAGGAACTACAAAACCGAATGCTCTGACATCTTGCAGATGTTTTAAGGTTATAAAGAGCATAATAAATGTTTAGTCAAAATATATTTGCTTATCCCCTACAAAAACTTGATGACGTCAGCTCGAAAATTTGCCGAATAAATCGCATCTAAAATGTACAAAATATGATGAGTCTGTACTTGTGATTTATCATTCCATTCATATTTTTGGATTTGCATATGCAGGGTGACTCAAAAAAATTAATGAAGGCGTGAATTTATTTTATCGATTTAATCAGGAATTACAAAACCGAATGCTTTGAAATCTTGGGAATATTTTAAAGTTATTATAAGCATGGTAAACTTTTGTTCAAAATGTATTTGTTCATCCCTCCTAAAAAAATTGATGACGTCACCCTTAAATTTTGCTGAATAAATCCTATCTAAAATGCAAAAAATATGATGAGTTTGTACTTGTGATTTATCATTCCATTCATATTTTTTAGATTTTCTTAAGAGGTGGTTCAAAAAAATTAATGAAGTCAATTTATTTTATTGATTAAATTAAAGGCAACACTTATTATTAGTATTACACCCCAACCAACCCAATTTGGTAGACACAAAATTTGTTAAAGGAAAAACTCGGTTGAAACATAAGGGTAGCACGCTTATTTACATCGACTTTAACGTTACAAATCTGCATTTGTTTTATGCGGTCACTTGGTTCCGCGAATGCGAAATAGACATGTTTATAATCAACCAATTGTGAATTTCACCGTCAAGAATTAAAATAAAACCCAATGTTTTATATAATAAGCGGAAGTCGAAGCAAAAAAACCGACGGTCGTTTTGTTTACAGTTTCTGTGTTTGGCTCTCACGTATGCTGTTACGCCTGTCATCTTAAATTAACAATGTTTATACATACACGATTTTTAGTTGCCTCTGATACGTAGGTATACGTGAGTAAATTGTTTCGTTATTTTATTGATTATATTACAAATCAATATTCAAACGACCCAATTCATTTTCCCGAAAATTTGAGAATATAATAATTTTATTCTTAGTATTACACTACATCTATCCCAACTGATATACGTGTCCTTGCAAAAATGTTGATGACGTCATCGCAATTTTTTTTTAAATTCCCACTACAAAAATGTAATGAGAAAAAAAACACAATAGGCATGCAGTCGTCAAGTTTCCGACAGCGAGGGAAGTACTGTCTAAACTCTTTAGACCAATTTTTAAACTTTAGATTTTTCAATTGTTCGACTGTTTTATGTTTCGATTTCTCAATTTATCAATCTTTCAATATTTTAATTTTCCAATTTTCCGAATTTTTAAATTTTCCATTTTTCAATTTCTTTTTTGAGATCTCGATTTATCGAGATTCGGATGTTTCGATGTTTTGATTGGTCACTCTCTCGATGTATCAATTTTGTAACTTTTCGATTTTTCGATTTTGGCCTATTTATATTTCGAAACATCGAAAAATTGGAAAATCTAAAAATTAAAAAATAAATTGGAAAATTGAAGAATTAAGAAAGTATGGAAAATAATTAACCACCAAGACTGTGACTAAAAAATTGTAAAAATTAATACAAAATAGAACACAGTGCTTCTAAAACATAAAAATAACTGCACTTTCCCGAAAAAAATCTATTGCATAACTATGGTTCCACTAATATTGTTAATTTAGGACGTTCTGTTAGTATCAAACACATTTAAAGAATTAATTCTTAGTTAAACAAAAAAAAAATTGTTTGTAAATAAAAGCATCTAAATAATAACCATTTCCATTTCCCCCAGAAATGCTGAACGCTTAGAGTCGACATTGGCCTGAGCGCAGTCCGGTTTGTGGATCAAACAAGTTCTCAGACGACGATTTATCTTTATTCTGTTTTCCCCCAGTTCATTATACCATATTTTTGTGTGTAACTCTCTTGTGTTTGTTATGTTTCGGCTTTGACGGCATGCAACAACTCATCAGTAATTAAATTTTTTAAAAGAAGTCTAAAAAATGATGATTGCAAATTGTAAGGAAACTGTTGAACTGGTTGAAAAAATTAAAGCAAAATGGAGAGTGCACTCTCATTCTCTGTAATTTTTTTTTCAATTTCACAATATTTTTAAACTAAATTTATTGCTAAACAAAATACATAGTAGGTATAGATATAAAAGTGTTACTACTAACTAACTACTGTTAAAAAAATGCAACAAGACTTTCTTGATTTTTACTGTTTGAAAAATCTGAGATACTAGAGTACATCTAGTAATTTAACAGGATATTACAGAAGACAAAATTTCTGTTACCGGTAAACCTTTCAACTTTCGTGATGCTTATACTATTTTGTGTACGACCAACAAAATTCTAACATTTTTTTAATCTAATTTGTAAAGTTGAAAGAAATTCATCACACATCAACGAAGTCTGTTTAATTTTACAGTTCCGAAAATTTAATGCTAAAACATGTTCCAGGTCTACTTTCTGTCGGTGTAAAGGAATCCTCGCGGCTCAATAACGTTTTTACTGCCCTCAATCTGACCACTGTAACCATCGTCATTGTTTCTGGAGCCATTAAATGTAACAATCTGTATTACTGCAAAAAAACCCAAACTAAACTTTACATTTTAGCCGATCCTGCCAATTGGCAGTTAGACGTAGCAAATATAACAGACCCTGTAATCAAGGAAAACGCTGGGGATGGAGGTTTCATGCCTTTTGGAGTCGCTGGAATAATGGCAGGAGCAGCTCAATGCTTTTATGGATTCGTCGGGTTTGATGCTGTCGCTACAACAGGAGAAGAGGCCAAAAACCCCCAGAGGAACATTCCCTTAGCAATCGTTATTTCCTTGATTATCATATTTTTGGCATACTTCGGTATTTCGACAGTTTTGACTATGATGTGGCCTTACTACGACCAAGATGCTACGGCTCCCTTGCCCTATGTTTACGAAAAATTGGGATGGACTCCTATTAAATGGATAGTAACTATAGGGGCAGTGATAGCCCTTTGTACTAGTCTCTTAGGAGCTATGTTTCCTCTGCCTAGAGTTATCTATGCTATGGCTAACGACGGACTGATTTTCAAGTTTCTTGCCAAAATCAATCCAAAGACAAAAACTCCTATCATAGCCACAGTTCTATCCGGAATTTTGGTCGCAATTATGGCAATATTATTTAACACCGATCAGTTGATAAATATGATGTCTATTGGTACGCTTCTGGCTTATACCATAGTCGCAGTGTGCGTCTTAATTCTCAGGTATGAACCTGTAGAAGGAAACAGTTACCCCGACCTCGAACTAAAAAAAGAAGAAAACTACACATTCTTTGGAATGTTTAAACAAATTTTCAATTTAAATATGAACAAACACGCAACCTCCACATCCACAAAAATCACCAATTGGAGCATAATAATCTTCGCCGTTTTCACCGCGGGTTTTGATGCATTTATCATTTATGCCCTTGACGTCTTCGAAAAACCATATGTCTTGACTCTTTTTGTGATTGTCACTATAATCATGTTAATCCTTATCGTCGTAATAGCAAGGCAGCCTACTGACGAAGTTAAACTGTCTTTTAAAGTCCCGTGGGTTCCGTTTATTCCTTGTTTGAGTATCATAATTAACTTGTATCTAATGCTGGAATTAGATAAAGATACTTGGATTCGGTTTGCGGTTTGGTTGGTTATAGGTAAATTACTAAACTATGCTGTAATGATCTTCGGTAATTACAAAGTTTTTCATTTTAGGTTTTCTAATTTACTTCTTTTATGGCTTGAGGAACAGCGAGGAACGAAAGCTCAGATTGGAGCATGAACTGAAAGAAAACGCAACGAAAACTGCAGATAAAGAAGTCACTAAATTTTAACAAAACGATATTACTTGTATTAGTGTGAATGTGATAAGCTTTATACTGTAATATACTTATTTATTATCATTGTTTAAAAAACGTTTTTAATTATCATGACATTTGTTTAGTTCGGTATGTCGATGATGATTGATGAATCTGTGTACAAAATATAGGTAGTCGAACCATGCTTAAAGTAAATGACAAAATCTTGTAGATATATTTTGCATAAACATGCAAATGGTAATTAATGTTTTATTAAGACTTTTAATTAGAATTGTAAATATTATAATACCGCATAAATAAAAAGTATGTTTTTTACACAAACATGTTTTGAGTGTTGTTTTCAATAAAAAAGTTGTTTCTAATTTCTGTTTTTTGCCATAATAAAGTGAAGATACTTTATCTGTGTGATGTATAGACAGCGGATTTCTGTCGGGCTACGTCACGATTATAGGTGGGGACGCGCTGGATCGCCGGGACTCAGTAGCGGGTGATAGATAATCACTAAATTTAATCGTCACTTATTCCATAAATACAATTAACGATTTATTAATCAAACGGCTACGCAAATGAGAACGAGAATTAACAGCAGAGTGCAACGAAGCAACGTTATTCTAATCTCAAATAAACGAAGTGCAGCCCTTAACTGCAATGAATTCCCATCCCGTACGAGCCGTACCGAGTTTGGCTTTGCCTAGCCCGACAGAAATCCGCTCTCTAGTGATGTATTATATTTCTAGGCTGTTTTTTAGTAATTACTAAGTATAATGAAAGTTATAATTCAGGCTTTAGAATATCGACAATGTAAGAGAGCAAATTTAAAAGCTTTAGAATTAATTAATTTTTTGTTTTTGTTTAATAAAAATAGTCAATTGCAGGCAATGTTTTAAAAAGTAGCCTAGTGTCTCTTAGAAAATGTTGTCAACTTTTAAATAGGTATTATTAACTGCTTTATCCAAATCGAAATGAGGTAAACTAAATGATGTTTTTAGTATTTACTGATTTTTTAAAAACCCGGGCGTAAATACAGTGCCGTAAAAGCATTAGTACGTATTACAATATATTTTAACACGAATTCTACTATGTGTGTAGTTATTCAGCCCGTACCACCCATTTATACCCTCCCATTTTCTTTTGCACACGCGTCTCCATTCAATTTAACTAACATCGTCATCTATAGCTTTACTGAATTAACACTGTGATACTGATAACTCAAACTTCCCGGAAAAATGAAACATGCGCACAAAATTTTAAAACTAGCGGAAAATTCAACATTTGCATGCACATTGCGTAGCAACGGACCTGAATTAAAAATTAATCGCGAATTAACTTTAGTTCGCGTTCTATAAACCGGGTCTAAAAGTATTAGTATTAGTATGTAGCAAATTTTTCTAAGTCTGGATTTCTTCAAAATTTACTCAAAAATGGCAGAAAAATCGGACAGCGTGGCCTACGGCAGCTCGAAACTTGAATGAAAATCGCTTTCTGCGCTAGTGTTTTTAGGGATTTTTGCTTCTTTATTTTGTGTTACTTAAGTAAGTTATGGCCTGCCTGGGATGCGATTTTAGGTCTTATTTTACTGTTTTATAAGGTATAGTTTGGTTTGAATAGGATTTCGTCTCTGATGGCCGATGTCGTACATTTTTCGGTTTCGCCTGCTACTGTTTTAGTTTGGGTATGAATTCTAATGGAAGTAATTGCGATTGGCGGTTTTTATGGGTGTACAGTTCTACGCATGTTGTTCGAAATGCCTGACAAGCGCAATGATATTTGAAATTTGCGAATATGCGAATTTTGTTGTTACGTTTGGGGATTGGTGTTAAGTAATTATGATTTGCAAATTTTGTTTTTATGCTCTGGAGATTTGTTTTTCGTGTTTTTGTTGCAATTTTCTCGTGAACTGATTTAGTGACGGCCCGTCACACTAACTGTTCCTTAAAAAAGTGATTTTTAAACTCGTCTAACTTTTTCCTTCCCCCAGAACTTCTACATAATTTCTAGTGTTTCTCCGTGACGGTATGATTTTAAAATTGTCCTTAAATTACATCGAGACACCTAATTTAAAAAGAAAAACTGTGTCAGTTATCGTGAAAATAGTTTGATACCGAGAAAGACGCCGCCAAATTTTCATGAAAATTTCACTCGGGTGTATTTAGAGCCAATTCCAAAATAAGATCAGAACATTTTACAAGGACCATTTTCAACTTAAGGGGACTCGCTAGACGAGGTATAGCACTTTTTTGGTTTTTTGTATGAAAAAATGATATTAATATAGATGTATCATACATCAAACTGCAGCTTTTTCCATATTCTAGAGCGCAGAGACCAGTTCAATCAACTAAAAAAATATGGCTGGGAAATATCGTAAAAAAGCACCATTGCATGTTTTATTTTCAAGTTTTTTGAGTCATAACCGTCATAGAATCGCTTGAAAATTAGCACATGGATAAAACATCACTTTTTACAGGGCGCAGAGTCATTAAATCTTTGTTAGTGGTACAATTTGTTTAAATAATAATGTATTTATTAAAATCAAAATATACCACAAATTAATGCAAAATACGTCGAATAATTTTAACAGGAATATCAGAGGAAAATTAATGATCTATTGGTTAGCAGAGTTTTTAACAAAAACTAACAATTATTGAAAAAAATGGGTATCAATTCGACAGAATTTGAGCAGTTAGTTCAGTACTTTGCCGATAGGAGCGCCACTAAATAATATTTTTACTCCACTCAGGATCCTGAATTCAATACACATGATTACTAAAAATTCATTGTAATATTATTGTTAATATATTTTGCTTTGTTAATTAATAAAACTAATAAACATATTTATAATAATAATAAAAAATATATAAAATACAGCTTTTGTTTAACACGTATAAGTAGCTAAGTGTATCTACTACTTATCCCAGAAAGGAGGTGTTTTAAAAAACCCTACGCCCAGTAACTTCTCCCTTCATTGTTTACTCGAAAAAAGTGTTCGTATATGTTTTCATTTGCCGAGAGATCATTTTCAAAATATATTTATAATAAAAATATTCAAGTCTTGGTGATGAAAAATGTACTCCTAATAAATTATTAAAGTACATAAAAAAATAGAAACAAATTTTATTTATTTTAAAAAAATCTCTCGCAAAGGCAGATTCCTCTTTCTTCTTGAATCAATTATTTCGGGCAATAATGCGCCAAAGTAAAATCTGCCAAGTTTATCTGCCATCTTTTTACATATATTTCTTCGTCTTTATAAATTTTTTCTATATTTATTCCTTTGGGTGTCCATACAACAAAATAAACTTGTGAAATACCCGTAACAAGTATTTCTCCCTGGACTTGAAAGTAGTAATCATGATTTTTTTTTTAGTTTCAATTCTCTGTCTGTCAATGTACAAAATTTGATTATTTTTTTTCTAACCGTTTCTTCGGGAGACAAATCTTTCGATTTTGAAGGGCATTTAATTTCAACTAATGCACTCCTATCCTCTAGAATCCTGTCTGGACTAGTAGCCAAGTAAGGAAATTGTTTTGAAATAAACAAGCCACACCGTTCAGTTTTTATATATTTATTTATTTCAAAACACTTGAGAGCTTTTTCCTCACTTTGCTGTCCATAGTATGTATGACTATTACCTCTAAATGTACTGTACAACAGAGACTCCACAGCTTTAGCTATTGCTGTAGTCGGTCTAAGTTTGTAAATACGTCCAAAATTTGAAACCGTAACCCTAATTTCTCTTTCTTTTGCCCAAATGTGCCTGTTGCCTAGTGTCTATTTCAATTTTGGTCTAAATTCAAAGATAATTTTCTCAAAAAAACCTCTTTGGCTGTCACAAATGTTTCTACATCCATGACATGATTTTCTAAAAAATATTTAAACCATAATCGCAGTCGGGACCAGCATACGTAAATTTTTTTAAGACATATTTTTTTTACGAATACTTTGTCTAAGACGAGCTTGTTTTATAGACGAACAATATTTTTTTGTTATTAAACCAGGACCGTTTTAATCACAATATATTTACTTATCCCCTCTAAAACATTGATGGCGTCACCTCAAAATTTTGCTGAATAAATCCTATCTAAATTGTATAAAATATGATGAGTCTCATCTTGTGATTTATCATTCCATTCATGTTTTTTGGATTTGCATATACAGGATGACCCCAAAAATTAATGAATGCGTAAATTTATTTTATTGATTTAATCAGGAACTACAGAACCCAGAGCTTTGAAATCTTGCAAATGTTATAAGTTATAAAGAGCATAATAAATTTTTAGTCAAAATATATTTGCTTATCCCCTGCAAAAAATTGATGACGTCAGCTCAAAAGTTTGCCGAATAATCCTATTTAAAATTTACAAAATATGATGAGTCTCTTCTTGTAATTTATCATTCCATTCATATTTTTTGGATTCGGATATACAGGGTGACCCAAAAAATTTAATGAATGCTCAAATTTATTTTATTGATTTAATCAGGAACTACAAAACCGAATGCTTTGAAATCTAATGTAAAAAAAAACATAATAGGCATGCAGTCGTCACGTTTCCGATAGCGAGGGAAGTACTGTCTAAACTCTTTAGACCAATTTTTTTGATTTTCCCATTTTTCCATTTATCAGTTTTTCAATGTTTCAGTTTGGGATTTTTTTACTGTTTCGATTCTTTAATCTTCCTTCCATTTTTAGGTTTTTCAATATTTCAGCTTTGGAATCTTGCAATATTTTGTTTCTTCATTTTTTCAAATTTTTGATATTGTTTTCTCGGTTTTTAAATTTTTCGATATTTTAATTTTTCAGTTTTTAAAGCTTTAGGTTTTTAGATTTCTCACTATCTCGACTTTTCGATTTTTCAGTTCCATGATTTTTCAATTTGTCGAATTTTTAAATTTTAGATTTTTTGTTCTCGATCATTCAATTTTCTGAGTTTTCAGGCTTAGATTTTTTTTGTTGTTCAATTCTTGGATTTTTAAAATTTCTGTTTTTTAAATTTTCCTATTTATCAACTTACTGGAATTTCAATGTTTTGACTTTTTTATTGCTCAATTTCTCGATTTTTTGAATTTTTAGTTTTTGATACGATTTTTTTTTTCAAAAATTTTCAGTTTTTCAATTTGTTAACTTTACGATATTTCAGTTTTACGATTTTCAAATTTCTTTATTTTTCAGTTTTCAATTTTTGACGTTTCTAAATTGTTCGATTTTTCAATTTTTCGATTAACTGATTTTTTGATTTCCCCATTTCTCTATTTCTTGATTTTTCAATTCTTTCTTCAATTGTGATTTTTCAATTTTTCGATTTCTGGATTTTTCAATGTTTCAGTTTTGGATTTTTTCACTTTTCCGATTCTTCAATTTTCTTTCCATTTTTCAGTTTTTCAAGATTTCAGTTTTGGATTTTTTCACTTTTCCGATTCTTCAATTTTCTTTCCATTTTTCAGTTTTTCAGTATTTCAGTTCTGAGATTTTGCAATGTTTCGGTTCTTCAATTTTTCCATTTTTTGATGTTTCGATTTCTCGGTTTTTCAATTTTTCGATAGGTATGTTAATTTTTCAATTTTTAAATTCTAGATTTTCCGTTAATTTTTTTGTTTTCCTTGATGTTTTGATTTCTCGATTATTCGATTTTTCAAATTCTCGCTTTAGATTTTTTGGTTTTCCAATTCTTCGATTTTTAAATTGTTTAATTTTTAGATTGTTCAATTTCTCGATTTATAGTTTTTTCAATTTTTCGGTTTACCAATTTTTTTTCATTTAAAATGTTTCAATTTTTCAATTATTAAGTTTTCGATTTTTCAATTTTGGTGTAATTTGAAAACGGTATTAATAATACATTAGGCGAATAAACTAATAGAAGGGCTTGATAAGCCTCGTTTGCTCAACAGTCTAAATTGTGTTTGCATAATTTAATAATTTTCTCGAATATTAAAATTAATATGTCAAAAGAATACGAGAAATGATTATTCTGTGCTGAAGGTATGTTGTGGGCCGCCTGTCATAAATTATCATTATTTTTATGACCCACGTCCGGTAGATTTAAAGAAGAATTGCTAGTTGCGTTTAAGGCAACAAATAGCTCCGGGGGGAGGAAGCGCCGAGGTTGCTTTCAAACCGGAGACACGGATTTCAGGTGGTGAGCGCCCACTAAAATAAGAAAATAAAATAAAACGGCAAGGAATACTTTACACAATAAATCGGGTTTATTCTCTGACACCAACTACACGGCTAAAATAATAATCTTAAGGCTAAGTCTTAATTAACTACACCAAATTAAATAAACAAAAGAATTAAACGTCCAGCACGGTCGTTCCTCTTGGGCGGCGACTTCCTTCAAGACGAGTTTCTCCTAGACGTGGGGGCGGCGACCTTAAACCTGGAATCGCGCGAAGACGGTACGGCGACCCGAGAGGGGAGAGCGGTGGCGGTACATAACGCGTGCACGACGGTTTTGACTTGTTTCGGTGGCCACAAAAAAAAAGGTTTTTCGCTCGGGGGCGGCGATTCAAAAACCGGTACGCCAACAGGTAGAAAACCCACGACGGTACTTACGGTGGTTTCAGGGCTTCTCCAGAAACTAAAACTCAAAAATTGCCAAAACTCCGTTCACCACAGCACTTCGACACACCCTGAAACTTGACGCTCTCGCCATGCCGCTATCTTGACTACCACTACCGCCCTCTAACTAACAAGTAGAACTACCAACTACCCCCAAGCGCTAACGTGCACATGGTTGTCCAAGTTTAATGATTTTTTTTTGTTTGAATTTTTTTTTCAAATTCAAATTATTCAAATGTGATCGTTAATTAAATTCAGCACGAAAATTTGATTCAAATTCGGTCACCACAGGGTGGTCCGCAACTAACTCAGTAAGGAAAATCTCTTGCAATTTAGAAGTGTATACGTAGAACGAAAATGTCTGTATTAAAATGAACTCAAAGTTCGTGTCTACAACTGAAATATTTAAATTCCTCGGCGATGAAATTGATAATTACATAACTTTTGACAGCCATATTTATACAGTAGGTATGTAGTAGTTTCCATAAACCCTGTTTTGTAATAAATAATTTACGAAACTATGTAAGCATTATTGTTTTAATAATCAATTATTACTCCTGTATAGAATCTATTTTACTGTATCGTCTTGTATTCTGGGGAGTCTATAGTTAAGGTACATGAATCATACCTTTGGAACCCAAAAGAGAATAATTAGATCCATGTTGAAGGTAAATTATCCAGAACCTAGCAAGCCTTAATTTTCATCTTAAATGATCTTACCACTTCCAAGCCTGTATACAGGGTGATTCGGCATAAATGAAGAATGTGATTTGTGGTCAGCGACAACCCAAAATACATTATTAATTTATTCCTTGATTCACCCTAGAATTTTAAAAGTGTGAATTTTCTTGTGCGTAATATGTTAATTGTGTTTGTTTACATTGCCATTGTTGGAAAATTTGGCCTCAAGCATGGATGTAGTCATATCTAGAGTGACTTGAAGTATCAGATGTACTTTATTTAATATTTATTGGCACAACTATAATCTTATTATTATTAGTCATCGAATGTGTGCGTTGTCTTTTTAGTTCGAATTATCGCGAAATTCTGTTTATGGATATTCGAATTATCAACTAATAATAATTACACGTAATTTTCAGATACATTATCGCTATCACAAACCAGTTTTGTTCGCCTTATTGAAGTTCGACTGTATTTCCATAAGTGTTAGTACAACACTGCCATACATTTTGTGGAGTAGTTCAGCTTCTTACTGCATCCATTTTTGTTAAAACTAAGTTTTAATAATTTATAATCAAATAAACGACTCGGAAAAATTAAATTTATTAATAATTAATTAGTTTTATATTAATAGAATAAAATACAGCAATGTTTGTAAATAAACGTGTTTTATATGTATATTGGAATTTCGGCAAAAATTACTTTTGACATATTCCATCCTTACATGTCAGTCCTGTAGCACATTTTTCGGATGGTGGACTTGGACCCCTTATTTGTGTCATCCAGCAGCTTTCGTTTTGTTCTAAAAGCATACGTTGTGATACATAAATAAAAATCAAGCAGTACACCGGGTGTTTCAGATGTTATTCAACAGGCAAATCTGTCATATTGTTGAGAACACGACAAAAAGATAAATACAGCCACCAACAGAAACGATCTTTTCCCTTACAAAATAATATCTGAGACACTCGATACATGTGTAAACATAATGAATAGGTTTAGAGCTAGCCAAAAATAGTTAACATACGAAATATAAGTGAAGAAAATAATTTATCTAGTAATATAAAAAATTAAAATGATTTATTATATTATTATATTACATTTTTTGTAATTTTATTGTTGCAAAAAATAATATCTTTGTTAATTATATACGACCCAGTGTGTGTGTCTTAAAAAGCGGATAACTTACGCAAAATATGAATGCACTGTTTACAACATCCACAAAAACCTCCAGGTCCTATCTCGTAATTGGGGCCATCACATTTGGGAGGCGGCTTACAAGTGACATTTTGGCATGGATGTGGAGGACACACAATTAGCGCCTCTGTGCTGATGTTCCAAACCCACAGAAAAGTAAAAAGGATTGAGAAAACAATGCAGTTCATAATTACAAATTTAAATCAAATTATGATTTTATATAAGTTTTGTACGATGTGACCGACAAGTGTGTGTAAGTTACATTGAAATTATTTGTTTAAATAATCTGTTTTAAAATGACAATAACGTCACATGAATGTTAGTTTACCTTCCACAATGTTGATAACATTTTATTCGATATTTTAAGTAGCAGATAGGTATGCAAATGATAAAGTGAATTCTATGCTAGTTATGGTAAACATGTGTTATTTATGTTGTTATTTAAACAAGCAAACAGTGTTTATTATAAAAAAGCTCAAAGTAAGTGACGTATGTTATAATATAAACTTGATTTATGCTACCGTCATATCCAGTGTGCAGATAACGGAATATAAACACAAATACTTTTTTTTAACTAGAAAAATAACGTATTCATTTCGATATATAAGAAGTACCTAACTGAAACCAAGGACTTCCAATTTCTGAGTCAATAACAGAACGTTGTAAAACGTTCTGTTATTACACTTACGTGATCCAAACACGTAAGTGTTTGGATCACGTCACATTTATAAAGAAAAGGAATAGGGGAGTAATTATATAAATGCATCTATGCTAAACATAAATTATGAAGTCGGTTGCCTACGTTTAACGATTTTTTTGATTGAATTTTTTTTTCAAATTCAAATTGTTCAAATGTGATTTCGTGCCGCTGTTAATTAATTTCAGCGCGAAAATTTGGTTCAAATCCGGTTACCACAATACACATAAATAAAAACACATACGAAATATGCAAAACAACACATAAAATACGCAAAATAAATAAAACATAAGCAATCATGGGTGCACATTCGCTTTGAATTGTGCATTTCTTTCAATAAACGTTCATTAGCCCTGGCATTTCTTTCACCTCTAATACAAAAATTTACAAAAGACGCCCTTGAAACTTCCCGGTCAACACCCCGTATTTCCGCATTTTGCACCTTACCACTTTCACTTCTCTCTTTTCTCTTTTAACGATTGAATATTTCGAAACCTACATGAAATTTTCCAGAATTAGAATTTCCAATAAACGAATAATAAATCGAGGAAAAGCCATCCAAATACCTTAGATATTATAATGTTAGTCAAATTAATGTGCCTAATTAATCGATGTCCTTTAAAAGCCCTGCGACAAAGTTTATTGAACTAAAAATGCGAAAAATGAGATGTATGACGAACAGGTGACGCAGCTAACACAAAAGGCAAACCCTCGCCGCAAAATAATAACTCGAAAATTACCATCAAAAACTTACCGCATACCGTGTGCTAAATAAAATTGCCGTAGCTAAGGTAATTCCCTGAAAAGCCCTACTAAAACGGATTGAAATTATTATGTTGAAAAATTAGTACGAAAATTAGCGGACACGGCGTCATCCGGGAGCATCGCGATTTGGAAAGTTGGACAGCGTGTGTGTCATACACGCAAAGCATAGATTAATATAGATGCGATATACAGGATTTGCAAAACCACCCTTATTGACATTGGAGTCCTCAACCGCCAAAGACAAGCGCCAAATTTAAATACTCGATGCCAATAAAAAAACTTGTTTCACTACAACTCGTCGCCTGAGAACTTGTTTGATCTACAGACCAGAGCGCGCTCAGGCCAATGTCGACTCTAAGCGTTCAGAAGCGATTTGGTTGGTTTGGACTATAATTTCTGCGGGAAATAGTTGTTTGGTCGGTTTTTATAACGACTAAGTGAATATTTTTGCTACATATTTAGATGATTTTAGATATTTTGTTTAACTAACAATGAATTCTTTATTTGTGTTTTATACTAGCAAAACGTCTTAAACTAAGAATATTGTTGGAAAATGTTTTGGAAACACTGTGTTCTATTTTATATGAATTTTTAAATGTTTTTAGTGACAATTTTTGTGGTTGTTTTCGATACACTGTATGCTATTAACAGTGAGAAAAAAATGAACAATTAAAATAATGGAAAATTCGAAAAATCGAGAAATCTAATAATCGAAAAATCGAAACCTTAAAAAATCGTAAAACCGAAACATTGAAAAATCGAAATATCAAAGAACTGAAAATCGAAAAAATGTAAAATTTAAAAATCTAAAATTTAAAAACCGAATAACTGAAAAATCGAAACATCGAAAATCTGGAAAAGCGAAAAACTGAGAAATCGAAAAGTCAAAAGATCAAGAAGTCGTGGAGTCGAAAAGTCGAACAATTGAGAAACCGAAATAGGTCAAAATCGAAAAATCGAAAATTAAAAATTGAACAATTTATAAATTGAGAAATTGACAATCAAAATATCGAAAAATCCAAATCTCCATAAATCGAGAAATCAAAAAACTCGAAAAATTGAAAAATTGAGAGATTGGAAGATCCACAGAACGAGAAATCGAAAAGTGGTGAAGTCGAAAAATCGACAAACAAAAAGTTAAAAGTTGAAAAATTGGAAAAGCGGAAAGTTAAAAATTGAACAATTTATAAATTGAGAAACTAACAACCAAAATATCGAAAAATCCAAATCTCGATAAATCGAGAAATCAAAAAACTTACAAATTCGAAAAATTGAAAAATTGGGAGTTTGAAAAATCAAAAGAACGAGAAATCGAAAAGTGATGAAGACGAAAAATCGAAAAATAGAGAAATCGACAAACAAAAAGTTAAAAGTTGAAAAATTGGAAAAGCGGAAAAATCAAACAACGAAAAAATGGAAAACCGGAAAAACTGAGAAACCGAAATAGGCCAAAATAAAAAATTGAAAAACTGATAAATAGAAAACCTGAACAATCAAATCTGGATAAATCGGGAATGAAAAACGAACAAATCGAAAAATTGAAAAACAGAACATCTAAAACCAGGAAATCGAAAAATCGAAAGATTAAGAAATATTGAAAAATTAAAATATCAAAAGATGGAAAAATCTAAAATTTAAAAATCCAAAAATTAAAAAATCGAAAAAGTAAAAAGGTAGACACATCGAAAAATCCAGAAGTCAAAAACAGAAGAGCCGAAGAATTGAAATATTGAAAAATCCTAAAACTGAAATATCTAAAAACTGAAAAATCGAAAAATCAAAAAAGTAATTTGGAAAAATAGAAACTATAAAAAATCGAAAAATTGAAAAATCAAATACCTGAAAAATCCAAAAATTAATGAATTGAAGAACAGGAAAATCGAAACACTCGAAAGTCAAAACATCGATTAATTGAAAAATCGAAAAATTGAGAATTTATGAAAGTCAAATTTGAAAAATTAAAAAACCGAAAATTTGACAAAATGACAATTGAAAAACAGAAAATCTAAAACCGGAAAGTAGAAAAATCAAAAGATTAAGAAATCGAAACATTTGAAAAATTTGAAAACTTGAAAAATTCAAATACCGAAGAACTGAACTGAAAAATCGAGAAATCGAAAAATCTAAAATTTTAAAAATTAAAAAATCTAAAATTTAAAAATCGAAAAAGTAAAATAATCGACACATCGAAAAATCTAGGAGTCAAAAATCGAAAAGTCGAAGAATCGAAATATTGAAAAATCCCAAAACTGAGATATCGAAAAACTGAAAAATGAAAGAAAAACTGAGAATCTAATCACCTGAAAAACCCGAAAACTGAAATATCCAAAAACTGAGAACCTAAAAAGTCGAAAAATTGAACAATCGAAAAATCTAAAAAGTGAAGTCGAAAAATCGAAACCTAAAAAAACTAAAAATGAAAAATCGAAAAATTAAAGAATTGAGGCACAGGAATATCTAAACCCTCGAAAGTCAAGAAATGGGAAAATCAAAACATCGATTAATTGTGAAATCGAAAAATTGACAGTTTATAAATGCCAAATTTGAAAAGTTGAAAAATCGAAAATTTGAAAAACGACGACTAAAACCGGGAAGTCGAAAAATCGATAGATTAAAAAATCAAAACATTTGAAAAATTCGAAAACATGAAAAACGGAAATATCGAAGAACTGAAATAAAAAATCGAGAAATCGAAAAATCTAAAATTTTAAATATTGAAAAATGAAAATAATAATAATAATAATAATAATAATACGTTTATTCATTCCAACAGACGTTAGTCTATGGTGGACATGTATACATATATCAGAAAACTGAAAAATCTGAAATTTAAAAATCGAAAAATTGAAAAAACGACAATTGAAAAACAGAAAATCTAGAACCGGGAAGTCGAAAAATCGAAACATTTGAACAATTGAAATATAGAAGAGCCGAAATGAAAAATTGAGAAATCGAAAAATCAAAAAAGTGAAGTCGAAATATTGATACCTTAAAAAAATCGAAAAATTGAAAAATCAAAAACCTGCAAAACCGTAAGATCGAAAAATTGAATAATAAGTAAACTGAAATATCCCAAAACCGAAATGTCCAAAAAATCAGAAAAGTGAAGTTGAAAAATTGAAACATGAAAAAGTAAAAAAAATTGAAAAACCAAAAAACCTGAAAAATCAGTCAATTGAAAAATCGTAAAATTGAAGAGAAAAACTGAAAACCGAGAAATTGAAAAATTCAGAAATTGTAAAATCCAAAAATTAATTAATAAATAGGAGTAAATTGAAAAGTCCCCAAACTAAACTTTCGAAAAACTGAGAATTCGAAAGTTGAAACAGCAAGAAATTATGGTCGAAACCGGTTAGGATGTGTATCAGATCACGGATCAATGGCTTATAAATCAAATCGTTTCCGAACGCTTAGAGTCGACATTGGCCTGAATGCGCTCTGGTCTGTAGATCAAACAAGTTCTCAGACGGCGAACTGCAGCTTCTAATATTCTGGTAAATCTAGTGTCAATTTGTCGAAAGTAAAACGCGTCGTTAAAAATATTATGACATTTTTTTATTGTAGTTAATTTTATTCCTAGTTAGAAACAAACACTGTTGCCAACATAAGTCGAGGAGTCCTCAACCGTCATTTAATTTAAACATTTAAACTATGACGCTTCTCTATGTTCTCTGCGCAAAGCTCACATACTCCCGCGTCTCACGTACTCCGTAATATCTCCTTAAAACTTTTCATTATTTTCCGAGTCGTTTATTTGATTTATAAATTAATAAAATCTAGTTTTAACAATGCAATATGGATGCAATAAAAAGCTGAGCAATTCCACAAAATGTATATCAGTGTTGTTATTACACTTACGTTTTACATTAATTATAGTCATTGACGGGGGATCGGGGCGAGGTGTCGAATCGATTAAATTTGGCTGATTGAAAAAAAATGTGTTTTGGTGTTACTTCCCGAACGTAAGTTAAGGAAGTTTTGTAATC